TCAAGGCCGCATGAGCTCAGTGGCGGTGTCGTGACAAAGGTCGATGTGGCTGGCCTTTGAAAACTAAATTCATTGACCCCCTCACTTCCTAGGCGAGAGATTACTTCTTGCTGGCTTACAATTCGCACTTAGTTGTGCAAGGGCTAGAGGTGCGCCCTCAAAATAAAAAAAGGCCGAATGTTGCTGGGGACGGCTCGCTCATCAAACTCCCAATTAACTTTAACTTCTACAAGCTTCGTAACCCATCCTACGGCGTCCCCGGTAAGCGACGCGCCCCGTGCTCCGATGGTCGGGGTGTCAGGAATGCGACATGGACCGTCATCATTATCATCATCATCGTACAGCGAGATAAAATGAAGCGAGCTTCCCTGATCGCTGCCAAGCTCATAATGTATGACACCCAGTCTTGTAGCATCACTGTACTTTGAAGGTGCAAAGCGCATGCCGAAAGGAGATACAGAACTTGCTAGTCAAGAGTGCATTGCGCATCCTCCATAGGTTCGAACAGGCGTGCGATGTCATCAGCGTACTCTAAATCGCACAGCTTTTCTCCAGCTGCCCATTCAATCCCTACGTCTTGGAGACCACTATGTGCGTCCTCAAGTATTTCGTCCACGACGAAATTGAACAGAAACGGCGAGTAAGGGCACCTTTGACGAACGCCGCTGCTTGTGACGAATGGCCCACTCAGTTCGTTGTAAATCCTCACTCGATCAGATATATGTGATTACAGTGACCTCAGGAAGGTAACATATTTCCGGGGCATTCCTTTTCGAAGAGGGGAGCCCATCAGAGCTTCAGGGTCAACTGAGTCGGACGCTCTTTTCAGGTCAAATCATGAACCTTTCTTATTATAAAGACTATTGTACCATGATTTGTTTGGCACAATCTGAATTCAGACGTGTGTGAAATGTATACTCCTTTCAGGTCAAGAAACACTGCGATCGTTGGTCGACGGTGAGTGTAACGCAGCTCAAGGACCTGACAACAAAATTTGATCAATACATCCACGGCCAGGCTGGAATCCGGCTTGCTGTCTGCGGATGTCTACCTCTCTTGAAGGAGTCGGACGTCGAAGTATGACCGAGGCTAACACTTTGGTGACGATTAGAACCACACTTATACTGCAGTGGTTTTTGCAATAGTTGCGAGATGCTTTCTCAAAAATGGGAATGATCAGTGATTCACCCCAAGATGAAGCAATGCGCAGTATTAATGGAGCTTGCCAGGTTATCTCCCCCTTGATGAGAGTGGGAGGGAGCTTATCAGGTTCTGCTGCCTTTACTCTCTTCAGAGAGTGAATGCAAGACCGAACTTCTTCCGTTGTAGGATCGCATGACACTGCCCACGGAGCTTCAGTCGGAGATGAAGCAGCCTGGTTAGCACTAGGCCAGCTGAACTGTTCGCTGAAGTATTCTGCCCAACGATCAAGTCGTTGATCCGTATTGTGAATAACTTGTTCCATCTTATCGCAGAATGCTTCACTAACTACAGTTCGCCGACCTCCCGTATTGCGTATCAGTCGAAACAACTTACGACTATTCCTTGATGCAGCTGCTACTTCCATTTCACTAGCTAATGTTGCCCACCAGTTCTCACGGTCCTTCTTGAGGCTCTTCATGAGCCGACGTTATAGCTGCCACCTAACTCTGTTTTGATCTGGGCAAGTCGGGATTTGTCGTTTTTGATCCATCAGTGCTACAGACTCGTCAGATATTCGATGCCTCCGTCGAGCTTGAGGCTTAGACCCACAAGCAACATTTGCTGCAGAATGCATTGCTCATCTAATCTGATCCCACTAGTGGTCTACATCATTATGTCGAGGTACGCTTAGCCTACGCACTAGCTCCGATTCATAAAGTGCACGAACTGCTGCAACAGATAGCTATCCGAGTTTGCTGGTTTTGTCGCCGGCCAGTCACTCGGGGAGTGAGCTGCATCAAAACTAATGCATGATCAGACTCAACGCAGGTGCTCCAATGGTACCTGCAATTTCGCACTGAGCCACGCCAACGGTAACTTACTGCGATGTGGTCGATTTGAGTTAGCGTACACGTTGAGCTGGAGCGCCACGTTGCCGTCCCTTGAAAGCTGTCGGAAGTTGG